CAGTGCCACAGGCTTCTACTCAATTCACATGTTACACTCTATTTTTTTTTTCAGACGGTAAAAAAGGTTATCCAGTATAAAAATTATATAGTTTGAACTTTATGTTGAATATAACACACGTAAAACATTGTAAAATAAATAAATAAATTATAATTTGCAAATGAACAATTAAAAACTTAACCAAATGGTAACCCTCGGCAAAGCATTAGGGGAAATTAAAAAGAAACTGGCGGACGATATCTAGATACACATGCGGTGTTTGAGCATAGCATTCTGAGATGTTTAACGTCCAGGTGTCATAGTTAACCGCATTTACCACAGATTAAAATTATTAATTTTTATTCCGATCTACACAGTAAGAATTTACAGTATCATGAAGTCTTGCAGTTGTATGCTTGGGTTTAATTTTATTAATTACAGGATCCCAATCACATCACATCACAGAAATCAGGATGTTTTTTGATTTCTATCGGGTCGCAAATCATCCTTGGAAGGAATCTGTGTTCTTTAGCGAGGATTTGTGGTCTATCAAATCTGATGTAGGGACGGTGGCGATCCTGTACGTGTTCACAGACTGCAGACTTCTCCGGAGCGTCGATTCTTCGAATCAGCTATATGTTTTTAGGGTTCCGTAGTCAACTAGGAACCCTTATAGTTTCGCCATGGCTGTCTGTCCGTCCTCGCTTAATTTCTGTGACCGTTAGCACTAGAAAACTGAAATTTGGTACCAATATGTGTATCAATCACGCCGAGAAAGTGGTAAAACAAAAATTGGAAAAAAAATGTTTTATTAGGGTAGCCCCCCTATATGTAAAGTGGGAAGTGATTTTTTTTAATTTCAACCCTAACGTGTGATATATTGTTGGAAAGGTATTTAAAAATGAATAGGGGTTTACTAAAATCATTTTTTGATAATGTCAATAATTTCGGAAATATTCGCTCCAAAAGTGAAAAACAATGTGTCCCCCCCCCTCTAACTTTTGAACCATAAGTTTAGAAAATATGAAAAAAAATCTGAAAAGTAGAACTTTATAAGGACTTTCTAGGAAAATCATTTTGAACTTGGATGGAAACAACAGTACCCACTACCGGGAGCAGTTGCAGGATCGCGGAGCGCTGCTGGAGCGCGAACATAATGGATACCCACCTTTAAACTCATAAGTGGCAACACTTATTGTGACGGACGGGAAGCTACGAAACCCTACACTGAGCGTGGCCCACCGCGCTCTTGGCCGGTTTTTTAATCCAGGTTTTAATTGTTTACCGTTTACTAAACGTTACCCTATTTTAAACTTAAAATAAAATAAAAATACATTTCAGTTAATATTTTAAAGCTTTGTTCTTATTTTAAATTCGACTACATACGTAAGCCACGCGATCATTTACGTTTTTTTATAAGGCGCGACCATTGCAGGGTTAAATCCCAATCCAAGCATACAACAGCAAGACTATATATATTATCCCACACAGTATTCAAGTCTAAATCATTCATACACAACTCATTCAAACATCTAATATTTCCTCTCAGTCTACATTTATACTTCTCTTTCACATCTTCATCTTGTAACTTCTCTATTCTTATACGCTGTAACGCAGTGGTAGACACAGATGTCCGATGCCGCCAACGCTTGAAAAGACCATTAATTCGACATAAGACCAAGTAATGATCCGTCCCTACGTTGGACCCCCGGTAAACCCTTGTACCTACGACTGCGCACCTCATTCCTTCATCCACAATTATGAAATCTATCATGCTTCTATCATCACCTCTTTCCCATGTATACATGTGTATCTTCTTATGACGAAAAAAGTATTCGTCACAAAAAGATTCTTTTCCACACATACGGCGAGGAAGTCTTCACCATTCTCATTTATACTTTCATCACCAAACGTTCCCAATATCCTTTCATAACCAGACCTCTTCACCCCAACCCTTCCATTAAAGTCTCCTAACATAATAATATTTTCATTTTCCTTACATTTTGTCAACACCATCCTTACCATGTCCCAAAACTGCTCTCGGATGTAAGTGGGCTTAGACATGTCTGGGGCGTACACCCCTAGCAGGAACAGCTTCTTTAAGCCCACTTTCATTCGTATCCATAGCAGCCTCGGGCTTACACATTCATACTCTTTCACACATTGACCCATTCTTTCTGAAAGGATGAAACCGACTCCCTGGCATGCCCGTTCGGTCTCGCCTACACCAGACCAATACGCGGTATACGTGCCATGTGCAGTGGCATCCTTTCCCTTTCGTTTCGTCTCATTTACACATAACACATCTATTCCTCTGTCATTCATCATTTCGCATACTTCATCCATCTTATCATTCATTCCTCCACATACATTCAGCGTAGCGAGACGGGTTTCCGCAATCCACTTTTCGCCCCTCCGGAAGACAGAACGTGACGGGTGGCGAACCTCGTCGCCGGTTATTCTCCCGGAGATTCTTCGCACCCCTGCCCCATTGAAGGGGCGCCGGGAACTCGGGGCCATTTCTTTTATTTTCTGAGTCATGGTGCGAACAAGGGGTGGTGGTAGATTTTACGCCGCTACCATACGGCGAGGAGCCGAGTCTATTTTTTTTCGGATTTGTCGCTCGTTTAGCACCACCAGGGGGACACGTGTAGGGTGGGCCTAAGGTTAGGTGGTCGAAGCCTACGGACGCGAGAGACTCATGCCGCCACTGAAGTATGTGGTGTAAGTAAGAGAACAAATGAAAGGAAAAGTAATACGTTGTGGTGGGATGATGAGGTACGGGTGGAAGTTGAATCAAAGAAGAAAGCATGGTTAGATTTACTAGCAACCAAAGCTGGTAATTCTTCTGGTATGAATGATGAGATTGAAAGAAAAAAGACGTCTAAATATGAAAGTAAAAGAAGTTGTTGAAAGGAAAAAGAAAGAAAAAAATGAAAAGAATGATAGAAGGATATCTGATAATTTCCAGACTAATATAAAAATGTTCTGGAAATTCGTAGGAACTGCCAGGGGAAATACAAAACAGCCTATAATGAATGCTATAAGAGACGAGAATAGATGTATTCTGAATGATGAAGCTTCGAATTTAAACAGATGGAAGGAATACTTTGAAAGTGTGTTTATGAGTGAAGAGTCGTCTGAATTAAATGAACTAGAAATTCCGAAAGAAGTGGAAAGGGGTATGGAGATAAGTGTAGATGAAATAATGAAAGCAATGAAAAGCATGAAAGCAGGTAAGGCAGCTGGATATGATGGAGTATCACTCGAGATGCTAAGGGCTGAAGAGGGAGTGGTGGCAGGCCTGCTGTACACCTTGTTTAATTTATGTTGGGAATTAAAACGGGTACCGGATGACTGGTGTAAAGTAGTTATAGTACCAATATATAAAGGAAAAGGGTCACAGCAGGACTGCAAAAACTACCGTGGTATCAGCTTGCTTAGTATTGTGGGTAAACTGTATGCTAAGGTGTTAATTGAGTTATGAAAGAAACTCATGGAAAAATTTGGGATGTGCAAGCGGGTTTTAGAAAGGGAATGGGGTGTACAGATCAAGTCTTTTCCATGCGCATGATTGCGGAGAAGTTTTTGGCCAAAAACCAGAAAGTTTTTTGTGCGTTCATGGACTTGGAAAAGGCTTATGACAGAGTGGACAGGAATGTGTTATGGCAAACACTGAACTCATATGGGTTGAGCGCTGGTTTGATACAGGCATTAAGGTCTCTTTATAGGGACTCTAGTGCTTGTGTCAGGATCAATGGGGTCTACTCGGACTGGTTTGGCATCCAAAAAGGTGTCAGACAGGGCTGTGTAGCTTCCCCTTGGCTGATCAACCTATTTATGGACAGATGTTTGCAAACTTTGAAAGATGAAGAATGTGGGTTAAGAATGGGCGAGTTAACCGTCAAATGCCTTTTGTATGCCGATGATCAAGTCATATTTGCGTCATCGGCAGCTGAGTTGCAAATGATGGTTACATTAATGAACTGGGAATTAAAAGAAAGGAGAATGAAAGTGAACGCAAGTAAGACGAAAGTGATGGTTTTTGAAAGAGAAGAAAGCAAAACGGTATGTGAAATAAGAATAGAAGGAGAGTTAATTGAGCAAGTGGATGAGTTTGTGTATTTGGGATGTGTATTTAGCAGGGATGGTAGATAAGATAAGGATATAGAACGACGAGTAAATGCAGGGAATAGAGTGAATGGGGCACTACACTCTATTGTGAAGAACCAGAATGTGTCAAAAAAGGTACGTATGGTAATTCATAATGCTGTGTTAGTCCCTACTTTAATGTATGGTAGTGAAAGCTGGGTGTGGCAGAAGAAGCACGAAAGTAGAATAAATGCTGTAGAAATGCGGTCTTTAAGGAGTATGCTAGGGTTGAATCTGAATGACAGGGTGAGAAATTGCGTAATAAGAGATAAATGTGGTATGCAAGATGATGTTGTGACCAGGATTAAGAAAGGAATGCTTCGGTGGTTTGGTCATGTAGAAAGAATGAATGAGGAAAGAGTGACAAAGCAAATTTATATGGCAGATGTGAACGGCAGAGTCGGGAAGGGACGCCCTAGAAAAAAGTTTATCGACCAAATTGGCGATATTTTGAAAAGGGGCCACGTTAGAAGTACCCTTAACCGACGAGCATGTATGCGTAGATATATGGATGTAAAGGAGGCGAAAGAGGTATGTCAGGATCGTGCCAAATGGAAGTCCGTAGTTTCTGCCTACCCCTCTGGGTGACAGGCGTGAGTGTTTATGTATGTATGTATGTAACTGCAAGACTTCAAGGTCCTATACCGTTCATACAGTGAAGATCGGAACAAAAATTAATAATTTTAATATGTGGTAACTGCGGTTAACTGTGACATCTGGACATTCAACATTTCAGTCCCGCCCGTGACCATGGGTGCTGTAAAGTGCTCGAAACGACGAGTATATAAAAAAATAAAAAATCCGTAAAAACTAGTATCATTTAAATGTGTAGTGTTCGCGTAAATATAAGAAATCATTAAGATACTTACAGGTTGATGGACATAGAACATCATAGAGAATGGCACGAGGTCAACTTTGCACTCTATGGACACCTCTCGCCATATACCATCTTCGTTCACTGGTGGCTCCCTGCAATATGGTATAAAAAAAACCGTTACTGTTACAGCCTCTCAGAAGTCCATTACTAAACAGGCCTGTTTCCCCCATAGATTGCTTTATAGGGGTAATATTTGCCTTGGTTGCGACACTTGCCAAGCTGGTGAGCAACTGAAGATTTTTTATTTTTTGTGATTATTAAGCAAATTGAAGTGTATAGAGAGCTAATGGCCTGTATTATGAATTTACTATTTATTATTATGTGAGACTAATTGACTATGTGCGAAACTGGCTATGATAGGGAATGATGAGTTGCTGCAGTTATATATAGTATATAGGAGATGATCCTAACCTATAAAAAAAATTATTACACATATATCCATTTCAAATACTTCAACTTAACCTAGCCTAATAGGGAGCACTGAGGGATTTCTTCCTTCTTCCTTTTTCTTCTTGTTTTCTGGAGCTCTTCTCTGCCGCAAATGGGCAAGTGCACTCCATATTTATTCTCGCGGCTGAGGTGTCGAGTCTCCTCACGAAGTTACGGGATCGGCCATGGTTTGTCGCTCTTTGTTGCAGTGCAGGGTGCAGTGGATGTGTCACGATGCGGTGTGAGGTTTTCGGATTGATGGAGCGGCAGCTCGCTTAGCCGTCCGTAACACAAATGTTGCTGCATTTCTTCAGGTTTCCCTCCGTCGCGTCTTACAATACTTAAGAGAGAATATAGAATAGTGGATATTCTTACACTGCCACTACAGTCAAAATGGGTGGGATTCATGCATCTGTCTTCAATTCAACTTCCTATTTAGTAACTAATTATAAGTTTATTTTCTTTGGTTATAACAGAATTAATTTTATTTGAAACTTAATTAGGTAAGCATTAACACAGCTACAAAAAAATAAAAATATAAATTTCTTCGCAACCTTCCGCTAAATAAATACAATGATGTGTCTTACCTGGATTGAAGAGCACCTCCCGCCCTCCCTCAATTGCATGCACTAACTTCGTCACCACTAGTCCCAGCACCACTACTCCCAACACCACTATTACAGGTAAGACACACCATTGACGATAATGCGACACGTGTTTGCCTCTACACGAGGCATCTTCAGGTAATGTGGCTGATCAGCCGCCGTAGAGTCTAACCGCGTTCGCAAATCTTACCTGGAATAGTGGTGTGAGTAGTGTCTGGGACTAGTGACAGTTGTTATTTGAGGGAGGGCGGGAGGTGCTCTTCAATCCAGGTAAGACACATCATTGCATTTATTTAGCGGAAGGTTTCGAAGAAATTAATATTTTTATTTTTTATTATAATGGATTTCCGCAAAGTAACGCCTGATTCTATCAATTAACTCAGCTACTATCTAAGAAATTGATTTGGAGACAATATCATCATTCTTCAAAAATATCACATTTCCCAAAAGCTAAAATAATAGTTTTTGTACAAAGTATTGGTTTATATATTGTATGTTTTAACAGATTGATTATGTGCTTTATTGGCTGCTGCACAAGTCTTCATTGAACACAGAAGAATTTCAATAAAGCACACTAGAAAACCCCTTAGTTTTCGATTTACATATTTATTGTAAAATACCAATTTCTGATGTAAGAAATTGAATCTCTAATCAAACATTGAACAATATTGCAGGTCTCTTGATTTATATTGTTTCACATTCCCATATGAATATTACCTTACATTTTTATATTGAATTTAAAATTTGATAAAAAAAATTTTTCAACATTATATAACAGAACACATTTATTATACAGGGTTATTTTTCAAAGAATAGCTGAATTTTCATTTTTTGAAAATGTGACAGTGGTAGAGCCATGGTGCAGCTACATTATGATTGTGGCATGTATGGGTCGGCTCGACCAGGGAAGGACCACGCTCTCACAGAATGCCGGCATAAAATAGTAGCTTAATGCTGCTGTGTTTCGTATGGTGAGTGTAGAGAACTGGAGATCCGCTTTACTGGAATCAAGGCATTCCATCTTAGTCCTCAAGGGTGACAACGCATAATATGCATTTTGATTCTTAATCAGGGTTAAATGTAGATGCCTATGGGCCACAGCATTCACTTACCATCAGGTGGACTGCGTGCTTGTCTGTCACCCTTATCCTATAAAAAAAAAATATATATATACATATATATATGAGTAAATAAGGCTTTTAGTTTTATTTGAAATTATTCCAAATTGAATGTGATTTATGGGCAACAACATTTTTGCTTACCGATTGACCCTTACGAATGTGTGTGTGTGCAGTAAAATCAGTTAACAGAATGTTTGAGATTTTTTAGATTATTCTTTCATCACCATTTACCTATATTACTTATACTGTATTTTCTCTGAAAATTTGGTCTGTAACCTTGTATAGATAGTAGAAAATTGTTTTGTTCATTATTTTTAAATTACTGATATAAAGATTACCATTCAATAATTTACAAATGTTTCTACATCATCATCATCATTATTGTTACAGTCTATCAAAAGCCCATCGGTGAACATCGGTCTTCCTTACAGATTATCATATACATGTGAAATTTACCATAGTTGCCACACTCAGCAAGTGATTGGCTATTGCAGTTTTCAACCAACTTCAAAATAAGGAGGAGGTTCTCAGTTCGACTGTATTTTTTATGAGTGTTGTGTGTTACCTCAGAACTTTTTTCTAGGTGAACCGATTTTTATGATTTATGGGCAACAACATTTTTGCTTACCGATTGACCCTTACTAATGTGTGTGTGTGAGCAGTAAAATCAGTTAAAATAATGCATTATAGAAAGGACAGAATGTTTGAGATTTTTTAGATTATTCTTTCATCACCATTTACCTATATTACTTATACTGTATTTTCTCTGCAAATTTGGCCTGTAACCTTGTATAGATAGTAGAAAATTGTTTTGCTCATTATTTTTAAATTACTGATATAAAGATTACCATTCAATAATTTACAAATGTTTCTACATCATCATCATTATTGTTACAGTCTATCAAAAGCCCATCGGTGAACATCGGTCTTCCCTACAGATTATCATATACATGTGATATTTACCATAGTTGTCACACTCAGCAAGTGATTTGGCTATTGCAGTTTTCAACCAACTTCAAAATAAGGAGGAGGTTCTCAGTTCGACTGTATTTTTTATGAGTGTTTTGTTACCTCAGAACTTTTTCTAGGTGAACCGATTTTTTTTTATTTGAAAGCTGGCTGGCTGGCTGCTTCTCGTGTGATCCCATATAAATTTGCTCAAGATCTGACCAGTAGTTTTTGATTTATCCTTAATAATGCTTATTTAATTGAATTAGACTACATTGATGGAGTTCTCATTTTATTTATAATAAAGTCACTTTTATGAAAAAAATTATTTTACCACTTGTTATTATTATGAGTTCTTATCAGGAAGAAGATGCTGCACATCTGTTTTATTTTACTCTGACGCTTCTCACGACACCCATGGGATGACATGATTTACTTATTATTTTTACACCCGCTACAGGATTTATCACGGGTCGGCTTTAGTAATCTGCTGCACGATTTAAGTGATCATTTTAGCTTTAGTTGATAGGTAATGATGCTATTGATTACCATCTAGCTGCTTTTTATGCCGGAAATCCTTAGTTTTAGAGATATCGATAATTTTAGTTTTGAGGTTATGTCCATTTAAAAATGATACGAAACGAAATAACAACATAATTATTTGATCATTTTAGCTTTAGTTGACAGGCAATGACACTATTAATTATCATCTAGCTGTTTTTTATGCCGGAAATCTTTAGTTTTCGAGATATCGACAATTATAGTTTTGAGGTTATATCCATTTAAAAATGATACCAATATGAAATAAGAATATAATTATTACAAAGAGATAGCAATAGAGCATGGTCTGTACTCTGTTTTAAAAAAAATTACTGCCGGGAGACAGTCATCATTTACCAAATAGAGCAACAAGAGGCCATCGGCAAGATTGGTGGCCCAGGAAAAGTAGTCCAAACAGACGAGTCAAAATTTGGAAAACGGAAATATAATAAAGGTAATTTGATTTTCTTATATTACAGACTGAAACAATATATTTATAATAATAATATAATGATAATTAAATTTATTTCAGACCCACATATAGTCCATAATATGTTAGTAAATTAGCTTAACCTATGTTAGTCTTAAATTATTACACATTATTTATTTTAAAGTTTACTTTTGAACCCAAATTATCTTTTAATACCTTTTATTAAATATATTTGAATACCTTTTAAAGCCAAAATATCTGGAAGAAATCAGTTTCAGAGTGATAAGACAGCCTGTTGTACATATTCTGCTATAAAATTTTGTACTTTTGTATTTGTTTTTTTTTTGTAATTTTGTACTATTGGGTTTTGGTGTACACTGTACAATATAGAGTAAATAAATAAATAAATATCTTGAATATTTACTAACTCTAAATTGTTTATTGTTGATTTTAGGAAGGCAGATTGAGGGCCACTGGATCCTCGGCCTCATTGAGGATGGAAGTGAGGATTTACGACTAGAGGTGTGCCCTGAAAACATCAGGTTAGCGGACATACTAGTGCCCCTAATTAAAAAACATGTGGTTGAGGGCACCACAATCCATACCGACTTCTGGAGGGCTTATGATTGTTTGGGGCAACATGGGTACATTAAGAAGAAGCGCACTCAAGTGATGACGTGCGGAGAACCAACATTTATTAACCAGCTTGGTCGACTGGCTACCCTCGAGGCTGCTGACCCCAACATGGGTACATTCACAAGAAGGTGAACCATTCAGATCCTGAGAACCCATTTGTTGCCCCTGATGGCACTCATATTCAAAGAATCGAATCGCAATGGCGGGTGGTTAAAAGATTTTTCAGTAAATACAATTATAATCACCTGGAAAACTTTTCAGACATTATTATAGAATATTTGTGGAGAAGGTCAGTGCAAAGAAAAAAAAAGGATCCTTTTATGGAACTAATTAAAGTAATTAACCATGTATATAAATAAATGTTTTTATAATATTATATTTGGTCATTTCTTTTGATCAAACTCTAGTACCAGAAGGTATAAATCACAAAACCGAATCTGTCAACCCCAACTTCCACGTGGTCTTTCCGCTCTTACCCCTAGAGTGTATATGAAAATCCGGAAGCGCGGAGGGAATGCAGCCCTCGCCCGCTGTAACTAAGCGTAGGCAGCGTACGAGCCGTAGCGGCTGAGGCTGGTCGCCGAAGGCGACCAAACAGCCGAAGCTGCGCAGGTGAGCTAGGTGCCTGTGCTTAGTTACGCAAGGGCGAAAGGGCTGCACTTCCCGCAGCGCTGGAGCAGAAGCAGAGTCAAAATAGTGTTAATTCCCACCGTTTTTCCCACCCTAAATACTCCCACATTCCCACCGGGACCCGAATGTGAGTTTTTCGTCGCCGGACGCCCTTTTTTTATTAAACGAAAGCGAATTTTCCTTAAATGTAACAAAACTTTAAAAATTCATAAAAAAAAAGGGGGGGGTTTCCGGCACTTTTTCCTTTCAGGGGGGAGGTTCCGCCCCCTCCCCCCCCACTCCCCCACCCACTCGGCGACCATATATTCATGCAGCAGATTACTAAAGAAAACCCTTTATCACTACTTACCCATTTAAAACTGGATCATCAACCAAAACATTGACTTCAGACTCTAACACTTGGAGGTCAGTAAGCTCCTGAGTAGCATTAAGGCAAGTTTGTTGTGCTGATTTTAGGATTTTCAACCCAGTTACAGACGGCCCAACTTCAACGGGGGCGCACAGATCGGAGTCAGAATCGGAACTAAAATATCAACAGAAAATTAGCTTGGAACTTTATCCATCTACTTTTATTATAGTATATAAAGCCAGTCAGTTCAACATACTTGTTGTTGTGTTCCTTAAATAACAAGTATATTTTCGTCTCCTTAGACATTAGAGTAAATAACTTAAAAATAACAAGTTAAAAACAACAATTAAAGAAATTATGAAGGGGTGTAATCATGATTATAATGATGATAGATATTTTAATAATGTTACCTTTCATCGTATTCGAACGTATCTGTTATGCTTAGCTTGGCCTCCTCAATCCGCTTTTCATAGTATTTTAATTCTTCAATAAGTTTGTCTCTTTGCTTAGTTAAAATCGTTTTCTTATAGACACTATTCATTCTATACATTTTAGCAAACAACTTTATATCTTTTAATTGATTTCTATTACAAGTTTACAAGCAATCTAATTGCTGTTTATGGAAACAAAACTCCGATAGGATTAATAGGACAGTGTTCCGTGAAAGTGAAATAAAATTTAAACCAATTTAAACCGTAGATTTAAACAGAACAGTTGTTGATTGTTGTAACAATCCTTCGATTGCCTTCGATGAAGGCAGGCAAAAGTCTTAGGCCATACAGCCTTGTCTAATAAATTCCGTAAAAATTCCGTTCATAACAATTTGTTGATACGTAACATTATGAAGCGGCAGGTTGATGATAATGTCATCTCACGGCCCCTAAGCGGATGAAAACCCTTTTGAGATTTATATTACTTACTTTACTTGATACATCGTTTCCAGTAATAATTCAAATGTGCAGACTTTTAATCACTAACCTCTTATATGTCAAAGGAAAATAACAAGAAACGCAAGTTTATAAATTTCCTAGCAAATTTATAAACCTTCGTAGAATTCTACATGACAAACAAATTGTATTATTTTACGCCCACATTTTTGCAAATTGATAAACTTACCGAACTCACGCGTAAATTAATAAGTAAGCAATAACCAAACGCCATGTGCGCTCTGATTGGTTGAATAAGTCACGTGTTCCTTCTCCTTCGTCTCCACCGCCATTGGTTAGCTTGCTTCATATTTATTTATCTATGGTCTATGCCATTGGTAGCCACGGAATGTAAACAAACCTCTTAGAGCGTACATTACATGGAGGGAGCACGAGCAGAACTGTGGTGAAGGTAGGTAGAGTCTGTCTCTCTCGCACATGCTTCTGATTGGCTGGCGTGTTTTCCACCGTTGCATCGCGCGCATAGATAAATAAATATGTAGATCGCGCGAATGCTGTGTTAGTGTCAACAAAACGTTCGTAAATAAATAATATATTAATAAATATAATTTAAAAATGACGAAAAAATGTTGTATTCCTACATGTAAAGTTGAAAGTGATCAACCGGAAGGACGTGATTTAACTTTTCATACGTAAGTATATATTCTCAGATGATGTGTACTTGTAGGTTAGTTTTTATACAATACATTTATAATAAACTGCATTGTTTATTTAATAGAGTTCCAAATGATATGAGGGAAAAATGGACTGAATTGTTGCAAACACAATGTAACGTGGAATTAAAAAAATATTCTTATATATGTAGTTTACACTTCCAACCGGGTTGTTTTTACTATAGTGGCTTATGTAAAAATAGAAGATTGAAGAAAGGATCATGTCCTACATTATTTGGTGATAAATTGTAAGTAGTCACAAAATATCTCACAATATTAATTGCTACAAATGAAAATGAGATGAATTTTTGTTTCAATATGATCGATAGGAATACTCAATTAGATGACCAATCTGGAGAAATTCAAGCAACTGATAATCATGACGAAGATGATACGACGTTTAAGTAAGTTTCTACAAATATTTATACATAGATGTATATTTTATAAATATTCTATACTGTTAAGTTAACGCATAAAATCATCGTTTCCAGTGTATCAGTGGAAGCATCATCACCATCCTCTTCAGTATATTACTCAATAGATTATGACATTACTGGAACGCAAAAAGTAAATAATACTGATTTAAGTACTAGGTAAAAATTAAAAATTATGTCTTGCTTAAAACTTATGTTGCAATCAAATAATAACATTAAATATTACATTTTTTTTAGTGAAAAATTTGAAAATAATAGTACGAATACCAAAGAAAGAAAATCAATATTACATATGGACTTGGATTCTTTGAATATTTCTGGAGAAGCCAAAAAACTTCTTGAGAAGGCAAAAGAAGAAGTACTTGGTCTTCGCAGGAGAAACCGTCAGCTACAGATGAGGTTATACCGCAGCAGGAAAGGAGTAAAGAGTGCTACAACCTTATTTACTCACATGAAGAAGCGTAAACTTATTAGTGAGAATTTACATAACATACTCGAGGTAAGTAGTAGCAATTTAAATCACCCAACACACAAAGGTTTTAAAAAATAAATTTGTACTAATAATAGATAACAATATATTGTGTGGTTGGTGTATAAAATGTGAATTTTTAAATATTTTGTATGACTTATATACAGATTAGGTAATTATTTAATCATGCGAATATTTAAATCTATTTAGAAGATATTCATATATACATATATTTTATTATTATATTAACTGAGACGAATTTTTTTTAGTAAGAGTGAAATACTGAAAAAATTGTATATATACAACCAAAAAGATAAAATTGGTTTCACTTATGCTATATTTATAATTATGTAAAATAAAAATCTATTGATGTTTGTAATATGTACATATTGCAACGGTACACATGGATGTGTGAGGTATTGTTGAAATATGTATAATTAATTTTTTCTTTAGTTTTATAATATTTTTATAACGATTTTTTTTACATAATTGTATCACAATAAAGAAATTTCTGATTTATACATACTATAATGCTTGAATGGGATATGCGAGTGCTAAAATAATAAATTGTTTATAACTGATTTCTTATGTAATAAATTAAAAATATTTACAAACAGTGTTATTTGTCATTAACCTTGAATACAAAAAGAATGTTTCTAAAGTGAGCTATTATATATCGTTTATCCCTAAAAATCGTAGCATCGTTATCAGCATTATGATGTATACTATAATTTCAATTATTAATGCATCTTTTTCAAAATTTCTGTTATCATTAAATGTAAAAAGGCGATAAAACAATCAAATTTTCAAACGTAAAAAATTAAATCATATCACTTTGCATTATTTTTTCTGTAATTTTTGATTATAGGATTCAGTATCTCCGAGTGCACATTCAATATTCAAGAGACTTCTCGGAAAGCAATGTAAAAATCCATTTCCATCAAGTTTGAAAAAATTTGCAACAACGTTACATTTTTATTCCCCGAAAGCCTACAACTACGTACGGAGTACTTTCATGAATTGCTTGCGTCATTCAAGAACCATAAGTAAATGGTATCAAAAGATAAACAGCTCATCCGGAATTAATAAAGCCAGTATTAACGCTCTTCAAAGAAAAGTAGCTGATGAAAAAGCGAACGGAAAAAAGAAAGTACTGTGCAATTTAGTAATGGATGAGATGAAGGTTAAGAAAAAAGTAGAGTTAATAAATGGCGAAGAATACGGATATATTGATATTATTGATAATGATGTTAATACTGATTCAATGCCTGAAGCGGAAAATGCACTTGTTTTGTTGTTAGTTTGTATAAACAGTAATTGGAAAATACCAATATCTTTTTACTTTGTAAAAGCGTTGACTGGACAGCAACAGGCTAAGATTGTAAGAGAAAATTTAACTGAAATTCACAAGACTGGATTTCAAATTACTTCTATTACTTTTGATGGACTACAAAGTAATTTTAATATGTGCACTGAATTAGGATCGAAAATGTTTAGTGACAATTTTAATTCTAATTACTTTCTTCACCCCGTAACTAATGAACGTATTTACATCAATCCTGATGGCTGTCACGCCTTGAAACTAATTAGGAATTCTCTGGCAACAGAAGATATGTATGATCGTGAAGGAAATCTTATATCATGGCAATTTTTTGAACATCTGGCTAATTTTCAAGAACATAATGGAGTGCATGCAGGCAATAAGTTTGGGCGACAGCATCTTAATTTTGAGCAAAATAAGATGAATGTCCGGTTGGCTGCTCAAACATTAAGTCAAAGCGTAAGCGACGCTTTTCAGTATTTAAAAGAACAAAAACTTGCTGATTTCCAAAACGTCGATGGCACAGCAAGATTTTGTTCGATAATCAACGATGCATTTGACATGTTGAATTCACGATCTCTATATAATAAAAATAAATCAAAAAACGCTATATCTTCTGAAAACTACGATGAATGCAAAAAAAGAGCTGAATCTACTATTGATTACATTAAGAACTTGAACACGAAAGATGGCACTTTATTAGTACATTCTCGCAAAAAAACTGGTTTCGTTGGAATGATTACATCATTGAAAAGTGTTTTAAATATATATGAAGATTTTTTTAAAAATATGAATGGTTATTTGCTTACCTACAAACTTTTACAAGATCACCTCGAAAACTTTTTTAGTGCTGTAAGAAGCCGAGGCGGATTTAGTAACAATCCGACTTGTTTTCAATTTATAAGTATTTTTAAGAAACTGTTACTACATGCAGATATCAAAGAATCAGAAAAAGCCAATTGTACATCGTTAGACGACACTAGTTTGTTGCACATATTACCAGAAGAAGCTAATTATGAAAATATTGCTAATAAAAAAATACAGATATAATTTGTAATAGTGATGCCACAATTAGTAATAATATATATAACGATTATACATACTACTATGGCAAAGGAGTAAACAAAAATTATGTTGACAATGTTGTTGGATATATTGCTGGATTTGTAACGCGATCTATTTTGAAGAGAAGTAAATGTTTTGAATGTCCTCTGGTTCTTACTTCCGAAGACAATCATTCGACGCTTAATACAGAAAAAAAATCGTGGAGGTTTAATAAAACCTGATATTGATGTTATCAAAATATGCAGAATCACAGAAAGACTATTTAGAATGTATTACAAAAGTAGAAAAGGCATTTATATACAGTTGATTAATTTAGTTCTAAATCACATACCAGACAGATCATACATCAGATCCCATTAAACACCGATCTTTACTAATCAAAGAAATAATTGGTACGTACTTAAGAATAAGAATAAATCATTACGATAAACAAAAATTACAATCGTCGAAAAAAATCAGAAGATTATATACAAAATTAATATTATTTAAAAACGAATAATTAAAAACAATGCTTGTTCAAGTAAAAATTTTATGAATTGCGTCAATTTTTTTTTCATTGGTTCTTACATTTAATTTTTTTAATTATAAAATAACATTAATATTAAGATAAGTTTATTGTTACCGATTTTTCAATACGTGCATTTTTTTTGTATAATGAAAAATTTTAAGAAATAATATATATGCAAAAATTCCTTTATTATACTTTATTATCCTTTCGTCACTAATTTTTTTACAAAAATGATATTTAAGTTTCGATTTTGTAATTAAATGTTATAAAGTTAATTCTTAATTGTGATTTTATTAATGCTCTTAATGAAAAAAAAAATGTACTTAGCATGCCGCAATCTCAGATCCCAAGCAAAGCAAAACAAAACCTTGTACCACTTAGCTACAGAGCATGTATTATATCACAATTATACTTAAATATTTAAGTTGTGCTCCCTTGGGCGAGTTTGAGTATGTTTTGGTTAGTCGAGGCTTATTTTTTTTAACTTTTTGAGTTAATAACTATGAATTAAATGTATTGTGTTTATAAATTCTAAAGGATAATGCATAACTTTCATATTATTTTTAGTTGAGAAAACAAAAAAATCTCGTCACCTTGCTTAGCGCATGCCCAATGAAACAGCCAATGACAGTGACTGTGCGAGAGAGACAGACTCTACCTAAACTCAGTCTCTCTCTCTCTCTACGCCGATCACGCTTTCTGCTCACACAGTGCTCCCTCCATGTAATGTATGCTCTAAGACAAACCTTGCTACATATTTATTTATCTATGAAATAAACCTGCTGCTCGTGTGTTTTTGTAAAGTTTTTAATGTTTTAACCTGTGTTGGAACTGTGAAAATAGTTTTATTTTGCTAAGGTTACTAAGCAAGACCCATAATGAGCGACCTAGAAGCTGCGGACAGCCAAAACGGTGAAGATAGTGCGGCAAATGCTACAAAAATTGTTGACGAAGTGAAATTTAACCTCAGAGCTACGAAAGTTTTATAGTGGCCATGACCAAAATAGTTAGAAGTCGGAATGGACAGAGGAAAAAATTAAAAATGTAATTCAAATGATAGAAGATTTTAATAAAACTAAAATTTTGGGACGTCGGCCCACATATAAAGAATACTATTACGCCAAAAAGTATGATATTATGACTTTTAGTGACGAAAAATCTTGATAGTAAAAAGAAAGTCTCAGCAAGATCCAGTGGTACAAATAGTTCCTAGCAGTCAATACTATCAACGAATTCTCGATACACATGTTGCTACAGGTCACGGACAGCGTGACAAAATTACTCACGCCTTGAAAGACAAGTACATGTTTCCAGTATTTACCATAAATATTTTTCTCGTGCAATACTTGTCTTTCCAAAAAAAGTTTCCCTAAAGCTGGGATAGTCGTAAAACCACTTATTTCAGATGACTTTAGTAGAAGAGGACAGGTAGATCTTGTGGATTTTCAATCATCTCCAGATGGGGAGTACTAATGGATGCTACAGTACCAAGATCATTTGACAAAGTTTTGTTTTTTACGACGTCTAAAGAGTAAAGAAGCAAAAGAAGTCGCAATAGAGACTTTGAAGATATTTTTAGAAGTTGGTTGTCCCAATATCCTTCAGAGCGACAATGGACGGGAGTTCACGGCATCAGTATTGAAAGAAATTGTTAGCTTATGGCCAGCTTGCAAAATTGTGAATGGAAGACCCAGATATCCCCAAAGTCAGGGAAGTGTAGAACGATCAAACCAAGACATGAAGAATATGATTCGGGCTTGGATGGTAGATAATAATTCGAATAATTGGTCAATAGGCTGTTACTTCGCTCAATTTCAGAAAAATTCTTCATACCATTCTACTATTAGAAGGACACCTTTTAAAGCCCTGTTTGGAGATAACCCAAGATGCGGTCTAACTTCTACGCATTTGTCTAAGAATATAATTTCTCAGTTTGAAATGGAAGAGGATTTGGAGACGTTCTTAGAAACTACAAATGACAATGAACGTAAGACCGTAAATGACGATGAAAATATAACTTCCGAACAAGAAATCTTTGTAAAACTCTTGATACTGCCGCAGATTCAATTATTATGACAGAAAGCTTGACTGAGACTGAGCGAGTCAAAGTACTCGTAGTTAGCAGTGAAAGCATAGTCGCAAATACAAACCATATTTTGCACGACTTTGACGTGATTTCACACGAAATCGAAGTTGGCGAATCAGATACATTGTTTTGTCACGTATGTAACAAGGATTCATCAGGGGCCCATACGTGTATTAAATGTAAACGTATCACACACGTAATCTGTGGAGAGTCAACAGAAGACAATGATGAAGGATATGGTTCGCAGTTGATATGTAATTTTTGCTCAAATGAAATAAACATCCTGAGAGAAAGGAATAACTCGTACTTGAATTTAAAAAGAGCAGCAGAAAAAATTACAGCACATTCATCTAAGAAATTCAAAAATATTGATGTTGGTGCTATTGTATTAGTCGAAGTTACAAAAGTAAATTGAGGGACTTTAGATAGCAAGAATGTGGTCGGCAAAGTCATAGACAAAAGGAATGAATTATACAAAGTTGGCACTTCTTTTGGAGTCATCAATGACTGGTTGCCTCGAAACGCTGTCCTTCCAACTTGCTTGTTTAACGCAGGATGAGCTGAACGTACCACGTAGGCACATTGAGCTCATCCTGCAGTCTATTTTGCATTTTTATTTTTATTATTTTTACTGATCCCAAGATATTATGATCGTCGGGTGGGATAGGTTGAGCATGTCATCATCTTCTATTATTAATGCCATTTAGTTATGTAAGTTAATTAAGGAAGAGCGGTTCCTCCAAACACAGGCTTTTTGAGCTTAAATGGAAGCTCCGTTCAAAAATATATTTAAGGCTTCTTTTGTTAAATAAATAAATAATTTTTAATTTTTTTTTAATAACTATAAACGTGAATTAAATTTTTTATGTGCCACATTTTTATATTTACAGGCCAAGTTACCATTAAGAAAAATATCTGCGATGTCTTCTGCATTTGGTGGGCAAGGAATGAAGCAATGCAACTGCAAAAAATATTCCAAGGGACAATGTTTATCTAATAAGTGCAATTGTAAAAAAGGTAATATTTTGTGTAATTCGAGGTGCCATAAATCTTTGACATGTTGCAATAAGTAAATAATCGGGAATAATACGAGTACTGACTTAAACGACAAACTTTTAACTTTTAATTTCCTTTTTTTATTATGTTTAATTTGTTATATGTTTTTTAAGCATATTCTCCATAAAGCTCTCACTTACCTAGCGTCTGTTTGGCAATTCGCCTGAGGCTCACGAATATAATTTTTATTTAATTTTAAAATGTTTGATTTTTTTAAAGGGCCAGTTTTTATGTTTTATGATTGTTTTTTTTTTCTTTTTAATAAACCTCTTAAATATCGTATAACACTATTTCTGTTGTTTTATTTTGGTAGAGTTAAGTACCATTATTATGTAAAAAAAGTAACCCTTAATTATAGGTACCAGCCTAGTTTTAAAGTAAAATTGATAAATTTATAGTTAGGCTAGTCTGATTGTTCTTAAGTCTATGTACAGAAGCATTGCCACTGTCAACATCGACCAATCAGAGAGCAGTGTGTTATTTGACGTATTTTAAAGAAACGTAAAATTAAAAGCTCTTCTGTGATTGGTCAGACCGTTTAGAATGGAAATCCGTTAGTTTATAAATTTACCACGAGACGTCGCAAATTGATAAATTTGCTAAAATGTGGGCGTAAATTAATACAATTTATCTGTCGTTTAGAATTCTACGAAGGTTTATAAATTTGCTAGGAAATATATAAACTTGCGATTCTTGTTATTTTCCTGTGACATATACAAGTACAAGTACGCTGGACTGGCTATACACCGGCTATACACATGATGATTTGAATTCCACCATTTTGGCGCTGACTGCAGAAGTGCACGTCAACGGAACTAATAATAGAGATAAGACAGTGTACCAAATTATATCTACAAAAATTCTATACCCTGCCTATACCTAAATAAATAGAATAAACTCTATGGAAAGATGGACTCTACTCGTAACGTCCATTCTATTTATGTAACATATTAATATAATGCCATTATTATTCATCATAATTAAAACCCTTCACAAGTCCACTGCTGAACACAGGCCTCCCCCAAGGAATGCCACAAAGCACGGTCCTTAACTACCTGCATCCATCAACTTTCTGCATGTCTTACCAGGTTTTGACTTCATCTAGTGGGGGAACGTCCTACACTTCACATGCCGGTACGAGGTTTCCACTCGATAACCTTTTTTTCCCCATCGGTATTTGGTTCTTCGAGCTATATGGCCGGTCAATTGCCACTTCAGTTTACTAATGCATTGGTCGATGTCGGTCGCTCTGGTTATGCTGCAGATATCCTCATTCCTAAGTTTGAACCCCTAACATAGCCCTCTTCATAGCTCGCTGAACGACTTCAAGCTTCCTCATACGGTGAGCAGTGAAAAACCTCGTCTCAGATCCATAGGTCATAACTGGCAACTCGGACTTGTTGTACAATCTGGTTTTGAGGTATTCCTGGCGAGAAGATGTGTTGTAATCTCCCGAACGCTGCCCAGCCGAGTTGAATCCGTCGATTGACCTGTCGGTCGAAGTCGAACTTACCTAGTCGGACTATTTGTCCCGAGTAAAAATACTCGTCAACAACTTCAGCTAAGTGCTCCCAAAAACCACGGGCATAGGTGTGACATGGACATTACACATGACTTTTGTTTCGTCCATGTTCATCTTAAGACCTATCCGTTGGGAGACACTATTTAGGTCATTAAACGTAGTGTGTAGGTCCTCCGGCGATTCTGCCATAACGACTATATTGTCGACAAATCGAAGGTGAGTGACGTACACGCCATTGACGTTAATACCGTATCCTTTCCAGTCCAGTAGCTTAAAGACGTCTTTCAATGCAGCGGTAAAGTATTTCGGGGATATTACATCACCCTGTCTTACACATCTCTACAGTTGGGTTAGTTTTGTACTCTGGTTCTGTACTCATATAGCCATCGTAGCCCTTAGACCATTCAACTAAAAATTATTAAGATTAAACTATCTACACAAAATAAAAGTAAAAAACATAGTTTCTAAAATAATTTATTGTCAACCGTTCATTTAGTTCTAGGGTATGTTCCGAAATACAACGCAGTGTACTGTCCAATGCAAATGACGTCATCATTTGACACTTTATTGTACTAGCGTGCCGCCGCCATATTGTGTCGGATATCCGGCCATAATAAAACAATTTTTAATTGTGTGTTTGCCGAATGAAGCATGCCAGAATTTGTTTCTATTTATTCAAATACAAAAAATTATAGAATAATTGATGGTATATCCATTAGGAGGATATAATAATTTTTTAAGCACAAAATGACAAAAGTCGTTGAGGCTCTTTCCTTCATACTTGGCAGCTGCGTCGAACACTATTCTTAGCTTCTTCTTGACTGGGTGTACAACAGCGAAGTGGGGTAGGTAGAATGTCCTTCCTTTGTTAGAGGTTTCTGGAGCCTTCTCTGCGTGTCCTTTTTCGATTAGACTCAGGATTTGTTCCTCGTAGTGCTTTCTTGCTTCTTGATCACGATCCAATTTTTTCTCGATGCTGACCGGGCGTCGAACGGCTTGATTGTAGTTGTTGGGCAGGCTTTCGTCTTCTTTTTTCCACAGGAGCCCCGTTTCATATTGACCGCTTGGCAGTTTCCTGGTAGTTTTCTCGAGGGTTTCTAACGCTCTTCTGTCGCTGTCGTTGGTTGGCGACCGATTCTGTATTCCAAGAGATTCCAGCTGGAAGTACTCTCGGACGATTTCCTCGATGTTTTCTTCGCCAGTGGTCGCTCTGCCATAATGAGTGAAGTTTACCGTGGCAGTTGCTCCTGTTTCACATCCGTGTAGCACCCATCCTAAGTTCGTGAGGGAGGCCACAGGATCTGATGGTTTGCCCTTCTTCAGCTTTCTTGTTACTATTAGTTCCCAATTATCTTGGCCTATCAGTAGCTTGGGTCTCTCGGTGACGTAGAGGAGTTGGCTTTCAATTGCTCTCAGATGCTCGCATTTTCTCACGGTGTCCTTGTTTATGCATTGTTCGGAAAGTTTCAGATCGTCGATGGTTCTTGCTACGATAGTCCTCTTTTCTTTTCTGTGAGCCCCTTTTATTTTGAGCTCGATCTTCTGCGAACTATCTTTCCTTCATACTTTCCCGCCGACGGTTTCGATTGTGAGCTTTTCTTAGCTTCCCTTTGACTCCGATTTTTTAACAGCGATTGACGCGTCTAAGAGTGTACCGTTGACCCTTCATCTAGTAATGGTATATGTATATATATATATGGTATGATGCCATCTTTTACACAGCTTGGCATCATACCATCCTACATTCTGACAGACCACCAGCACCGATTGAAAAAGAAGCAAAGGATATCAGTAGCTCGTCGGAAGAAAAAGTCGCCTCGATTCACAACGCCAAAGGAGAAGAAAAGGCCTATCTAAAAATGATCCCGGTGAACCTCTATGGCCCAAAAGGACAAGTTCGCGTACTAGCATTACTAGATGAAGGGTCAACGGTTACACTCTTAGACGCGTCAATCGCTGAAAAAATCGGAGTCAAAGGGAAGCAAGAAAAGCTCACAATCGAAACCGTCGGCGGGAAAGTATTAAGAAAAGATAGTTCACAGAAGATCGAGCTCAAAATAAAAGGGGCTCACAGAAAAGAAAAGAGGACTATCGTAGCAAGAACCATCGACGATCTGAAACTTTCCGAACAATGCATAAACAAGGACACCGTGAGAAAATGCGAGCATCTGAGAGCAATTGAAAGCCAACTCCTCTACGTCACCGAGAGACCCAAGCTACTGATAGGCCAAGATAATTGGGAACTAATAGTAACAAGAAAGCTGAAGAAGGGCAAACCATCAGATCCTGTGGCCTCCCTCACGAACTTAGGATGGGTGCTACACGGATGTGAAACAGGAGCAACTGCCACGGTAAACTTCACTCATTATGGCAGAGCGACCACTGGCGAAGAAAACATCGAGGAAATCGTCCGAGAGTACTTCCAGCTGGAATCTCTTGGAATACAGAATCGGTCGCCAACCAACGACAGCGACAGAAGAGCGTTAGAAACCCTCGAGAAAACTACCAGGAAACTGCCAAGCGGTCAATATGAAACGGGGCTCCTGTGGAAAAAAGAAGACGAAAGCCTGCCCAACAACTACAATCAAGCCGTTCGACGCCTGGTCAGCATCGAGAAAAAATTGGATCGTGATCAAGAAGCAAGAAAGCACTACGAGGAAAAAATCCTGAGTCTAATCGAAAAAGGACACGCAGAGAAGGCTCCAGAAACCTCTAACAAAGGAAGGACATTCTACCTACCCCACTTCGCTGTTGTACACCCAGTCAAGAAGAAGCTAAGAATAGTGTTCGACGCAGCTGCCAAGTATGAAGGAAAGAGCCTCAACGACGCCTTGCTCTCGGGCCCAGACTTGTTACAATCACTATTCGGAGTACTGCTGCGTTTCAGAGAGGGACCAGTAGCCGTCATGGCAGACATACAAGACATGTTTCTCCGAGTAAAAGTCAGAGAAGACAACCGAGACAGTCTCAGGTTCCTATGGCGCGGAAACCGAAGAACCGGCAAGCCTGAAGAGTATAGAATGTCTTCAATCATCTTTGGGGCAGCGTCATCACCTGCAACAGCAATATACGTAATGAACAAGAACGCAGAGGAATTTAAGAACACTCATCCTGAAGCAGTGAAAGCAATTAAGAGAAATCACTACATGGACGACTATCTGCAGAGCTTCGCATCTACAACCGAAGCAAAGAAGATATCCAAAGAAGTGAAAGACATTCACGCAAGAGCAAACTTTCATCTGAAGGGATGGGCCAGCAACAACTCGGGGGTAATATCAGAGGTAGAAGACACAAACAAAGAAAACTCCTTACAACTGACCAAGGAAGAGAAGACTCTGGTACTAATATGGCTGGTGAAAGAAGATGCATTAGCCTTCAACGTCGGGCTACGCAACACGCCGGAAGACCTGCAAGACGGCAGAAGGACTCCAACAAAAAGAGAAGTCACAAGCGCAGTAATGTCCACCTTCGATCCAATGGGTTTTGCTACACCAGTTCTAATACAAGGGAAGAAACTAATCCAAGACATCTGGCGAAAGAAAATAGACTGGGATGAACCAATCAACGAACATCAAAAAGAAGCCTGGATGAAATACCTGGAAGAAGTTTCAACATTAACAAGGCTGAAGATCCCGAGATGCGTCTCACCCAAAGGCAGAAAAGGATAGCTACACACGTTCTCCGATGCGAGTGAAGAAGCCTATGCAGCAGTAGTCTACTGGAGAATAGTCGAGCCCGGAGGAAAGGTCCATGTCTCCATGATCGCCGGCAAAGCAAGGGTAACGCCGACGAAACCTGTATCAATTCCGAGGCTAGAGCTACAAGCGGCTTTACTCGGAAGCAGACTAGCCGCCACAATCGAAGAGGAATCAGAGCTCGACATATCGAAAAAGGTTTACTGGACCGACTCCAGCACAGTACTGCAGTGGATAAAGTCAGAACCAAGGAAGTTCAAAACTTTTGTGGCCAACCGACTCGCCGAGATCGAAGAAAAGTCCAATCCAGAAGACTGGAGATGGGTGCCAACCAAGGAGAACCCAGCAGACGACGCCACGAGGGGAACCACAATCGAATTCGACCACAACGCCAGATGGTTCAAAGGCCCGTCATTTCTCCGTCGACCAGAAGAAGAATGGCCGT